GGCCTATTTTGAGTCAGGGTCAGATAGTTAAATGGCCATAAAACTTTGGTGAACAAACTCACTTCCTGCTTGGACCCTTATCATTTAATTGAGAGCATTCTAAAGAAAGCACTTTTCACAGGATTTTACATATTCTTTCTTAGGCCTGATTACCCTAGGGAACCCGCTCTTTCCAACACAGGGCTGCACCCACCACCAGCATTGTTTCAGGCTTAAGGCATTGTTTCAGGCTTAAGGCATTGTTTCAGGCTTAAGTCAGGCAGGGGACTTAAGGCAGCCAAGAGATTACACTTCTTGAAGACAGAATGAGGACTGAGGCTATGTCAAAGCCAAGGGGCAAAGGTCCATCATCCCTTTTCTGTAGCCCCCAAGTCCTTTCCTGGGGGCCCCTGTGATCATGCCTGTCTTAGATCATTCCCCCCTTGGGGAATCTTACCAGTTATTGGCTAACCAATCAAGCACTGGAGACAAGGCAGGGTGAAGGAAAAGAGGCAGAGGTGGCGCCCCTGCCAGGGAGATAAGCTTTGTCTCCTTAGTGGTTTATGGTCAGAAGGTCACTCACTCAGCCTCAGCCATGGGGGAGTGGGGGTGTGACAGCTTCTGAAACCAGGCAGGGCAGTTCCCAACAGTACATCAATGCTATATATTGTTTCTTGAGCTTATAGTTTTATGAAATATATTGAGTGTTGTTATATTTTATTGGTTTTCCATTAACTATGTTTTATAGAGATTACTGTGTTGCCATAAGAACATGGCATTCAGCCACAGGAAACAATAAACAGTTCAGAGAAAAGAGAAACGACGATGAGATGATCCTCATTATTCTAAATTATTGTTTTACTTTTCCAGTAGCTTTGGCTGCTACTGACAATACCTGTAACACATGATTTCCCCCCCGATTGTTGTGCATTTATCAAAATAACAGTCATTAAGTGCAGCATACAGTCTTAGATGTTGAGTCTCTACTTAACAACAGACCACAAGGAAAATTCAAATAGAGCTTACTACTCACAAATCTTTGAGGAAGTACCATGGACCCCTTGAGGAACCACATGGGGAGATTAAGGCAGAGTACAGACAAGAAGAGAGACAGAACCTGGGACACCATGTTTTGTTAGTGTGCATGGGTGATGTGCTTTGGGATTTCAAGGGTAAGGTGGATTGGTCACATTAAACCAAAAGTGTGGGGTTTGATGTGCTTCATGATGGTCTCATTTAAGGGAAGCATAAGGTGTAGCCCATGGGAGGCAGGGGAGGTTGTTGATCATAACGGCTGTTGGGGAAGTTATATCAGTAACTCACATTTGCTTATGACTCTTTAGGTTGCTGTATGGCTATGTAACTGCATGAGGGGCTAGTGTCAGATTCAAGTAACTGCAGGCCACTTGGCCTAACAAAATGTCTGATGAGGCAGCAACACCACAGAGTAGTTTAGCTAAAGTCTCTTCACCCATGTATTACTTCTGATTTTTCTACAAATGCATTTGTGAGTTTACATAATTGGTCTTTGCTTATATAAAATAAATTAGGGTTTATAAAATAGAGAAATGAGAGGATGTATTGAAGTAGTTAGGATGCTTTGAAGTATTTAGTAAGATTCTTTAAATCACAAAGATTTATTTAGAGTCTTTAGGATATGTGAAGACCACAAGTTCATTTAAATGATATTTCAACTTACTTATTCAACACTTTATTTAAAAATGAGCCATCAGTCAAAATGAGGCATAGTTATGTAAGTAATATGAAAAAATAAAATTGTTTAATAGATTTTCTAGAAAAGTCCATGGTACCATGTGTAATGCAAAGAACACTATAATTGGACTTGAGTTACTTACAACATCAGCTCTGTTACTAATTAACTGCTTCTAACAGGGAAATCATTTAACTTCAGCTGCCTTATCTGAACCACAAAGTAGTTGAAATAAATGTTTGGTTACCAAACTATTAGGAGCCATAATATGCTCTTCAGAATTATGTAGGCACTTGCCACAAGTGTGGAGTAAAGTGAGATTTTTGGATATCCAACGGTTCTTTTTGAATTCATACAACACAATTCTGCTCTCATCTGATGTAGTGTGGATCCCAGAATATTTTCATTTGTAAGAAGAGGCACTACTAATAGTATGTGAAAAACAACTTGATTTCTAAGTGATGCAGACCCCGGCTCATGGGGTCTGCATCATTATGGATGAAATGAGACATTCACATGGACTACCGAGTCTGGTGGAGGAAAAGGGACAGCATGACTTTTCTCTCAAGGGGAACAAAAACCTCAGCCCTTGCTCCAATGAGCTTTTATTGGCTTACTGGGAACATTACAAGAAGGTCCTCATTAACTATGCACAGGCTTGCTTTAGGTGGTTACCTTTTACAGAAAACAAGGGAGCCAAACAGAAGAGGGATTTTTGCAAATGAAAAGGCAAAAGCCGTTGGACCAGTTATACTCATCCTTGGAAGGTTTAGCATGGATTTTAGGAAGTTGCTTTGCAGTAAATGTACCAATTCAGGGTGAGGGAGTTTTAGTGAAAAGCAAGACTCATAGTGGCTTAGGTACATTGCAGGCCTGATTCCCCACAGGAGAACCTATCCGTGGGCATGGATCCTGTGCATCTCTGAGTGGGAGCTGGGCCCACGCCATGCAGAGTGGCCTTCCACACTAAGGTCATTTCCACCACTGCTTTATTTTCCATTAGCCCAAATGGTGGGATTGATATGAAAGTGCATATTAACTTTGAGAAAGTGTATTTTGTTTTCAGAAAATAATTTATTAGGAAAAAAACTTTATGTAACTGTTTTGCAAAGTAGTTATGAACAGTTGAGAATTTTGAGAGCCAGAAAAATTCATGCCCTTTCACAATTTTCTCTTTATACATATGGTCTATTTCTTGCTGTTTCAAAAATTAATCCTGATGTTTTAGAGATTATAGTGAAATATTTACCCATGAAAAGGTGTTATATTTGGCATTTGCTTCAAAATAATTAGGGATGTGGCTAAATGAGTTGGGTATAGATAAAACCAGATGGCTCCCAAGTTGATAATTGTTGACATTGGCCAATGGGCAAATGGGGTTTCACTGTAATATTATTGAAACATTCACATATGTTTGATTTTTCTATTGGAATACATTTTTAAAGATTCTACTTAAAAATAATTTTGTTCATTTATTACAAGAGTGTTCATACTGTAGCCAGGAACAATTACCAATCCACTTAGGTTTCAGGAAGCAGATCTGTGTCATGAGATTTTACTGTCTTAGGTGGTATTTCTTTTTGTTCAGCCAAGTTACACTGCACCTTTTATTTTTGCTGTTAATGCACAGATGTAGACATAAAGAAATTTTAGATGAGCCATTAAAATCACCTTTGCTCATTTCCCACTCAGATACATATACTTTTAAGTTAATTTAACAATTAACAATTATTTTCTAGCCCTGGCTGGCGTAGCTCAGTGGATGGAGCACGGGCTGGGAACCAAAGTGTCCCAGGTTCGATTCCCAGCCAGGGTACATTGCTGGGTTGCAGGCCATAACCCCCAGCAACCGCACATTGATCTCTCTCTCTCTCTCTCTCTCTCCCCCCCTCCCTTCCCTCTCTAAAAATAAATAAATAAAATCTTTAAAAAAAAAAAACAATTATTTTCTTAGTTTAGTTATAGACATCTACACATTTAAAAAAACAGTTTTAATAGTGTAAAATGTCTCCTGGTAGACTATTAGACTCTGCTGTATCATTTGCAGGCATGTAAAATTACTGTATATTTATACTTTCTACTTCTACTGAAAACATGAATTTTAGTGTTATTATGGTTCTGGTCTTGAATGTGGTGTTCCCACTTGTACAGTCACTGAATCGGTCTTCTCTCAATTCAGAAATCTGGAAAATTGAAACCATTTTGCCTTTACTTTTAAACATTGCTTCATTTCTTTGTCATTTTGAGACTGCTCTATTATGTGGCTCTGTCTGATAGATGACCAGATGGTCCTATTGAAAAGCTTCAATTTATCCTAAAGTGAAACTCTAGTGAAAAGAACTTTAGGAAAATTTACACTACTGAAAGTTGGGTTTTAAAAACTGTCTGTTGTTACATTTACATCAGATATATTTATAAATCATCATCTTTATTTTCAAAGTAATTAAGGGAAATCTTGTTCAATGATTGCGTCTTCCCTATAAATCGAAGCTAACATGCAATAATATATCCCTATTCATTATAAGGAAATAATACATTTAAGTCATTAAGTGTAAATTGTTTTTTGACATTTATGCTATATAATTTATAAATTGCAATATTTATTGGTATAGAATTTAGAATGTTTTAATATTTCTGCATTGAGTTGGGGAAATCTTGTACTTGAAAATTGGACACAAGAAATCCAACACCCATGGCATATGCTACTGTTACTCTGACCTGTCCACCCCAGTCCACACCTATGGTCTTATAGTCCTCTGATGACCAGGTATCAGAAGAGGAAAAATACTGAATTTGGTTCATGAATGCGTCAAATAGGTACCTAAGTTCAGCCATATATGCTTGAATGGATTACTACTACACAACAGTTCTTAAGGTTGATCTTGAAGGAAAGTAGTGAGAAAAAATTCCCCCAGTCAACAGGAATTATAGAGGTGACTGTAGTCATCCAATGTACATGAAAATAAAAGTGGCCTGGTGTTAGTATTTATATTTTATGGGTCTTGACAAATAGCTTGCTTGGCTGTCCCTGAACCTTGAAGAAGAAAGATTTAAAAATAGAATGTCTTGGCTAGGAGACTTCAGTCTGCCTCTGCCATTAGCCACTCACATTCTGTCACAATGGGCTCAGGAACAGAAAAGCCACAGTGGCAGACGACGGCCCTACCATAATGGGATCCCACTCAGTAAAGCTGGTTAAACTCTGGTCCTGGCAGCTGCAGCGCTGAACCGGCAGCACTCACCCTCCAGCTCCCAGTACCTCCACTCAGCCCTGAGCCTGCCGTCCTGCCGTCCTGCCCTCGGCACCACTATGATGGAACAGGTCATTTCCTTCGCCAAAGACTTCCTGGCTGGAGGCGTCACAGCCGCCATCTCCAAAACGACCGTGGCCCCGATTGAGCGGGTCAAGCTGCTACTGCAGGTGCAACATGCCAGTAAGCAGATCACGGTGGACAAGCAGTACAAGGGCATTGTGGACTGCATCTTGCGTATCCCCAAGGAACAGGGTGTGCTGTCCTTTTGGAGGGGCAACCTGGCCAATGTCATCTACTACTTCCCTACGCAAGCCTTCAACTTTGCCTTCAAGGATAAATACAAACAGGTCTTCCTGGGGGGCGTGGACAAGCACACACAGTTCTGGAGGTATTTTGCTGGCAACCTGGCCTCCGGTGGGGCAGCTGGAGCCACCTCCCTTTGCTTTGTCTACCCCCTGGATTTCGCCAGAACCCGTCTGGCTGTTGACGTGGGGAAATCTGACATCGAGCGGCAGTTTAAAGGCCTGGGACACTGTCTGGTGAAGATCATAAAGTCTGACGGCATCCGTGGCCTGTACCAGGGCTTCAACGTCTCCGTGCAGAGCATCATCCTCTACCGGGCTGCCTATTTCGGCTTGTATGACACGGCCAAAGGCATGCTCCCTGACTCCAAGAAGACACACATCGCAGTGAATTGGACCATTGCACAGATAGTGACGGCTGTGGCAGGCTTGGCCTCCTACCCCTTCGACACCGTGCGGAGGCGGATGATGATGCAGTCTGGGCTCAAAGAAGCTGAGATCATGTACAGGGGGACTGTCCACTGCTGGAGGAAGATCTTCAAGGATGAGGGATGCAAAGCCTTCTACAAAGGCGCCTGGTCCAATGTCCTCAGGGGCATGGGCGGTGGCTTTGTGCTGGTCCTTTACGACGAGCTGAAGAAATTCATCTAGGGGTGTCCCCTGGTCTAGACACAGGGACCTGGAGAATCATGTAGAATCCTTCACTGTTTCAGACCATTGACCTTCCAGAAATTCCAGTCTTTCCCTGGCCAGGTCACATGTGAAAGGCTGGGGAGGACTCTAGAACTGGGTTCATTGTGATCACAACTGACACCTTGATTCCATTCACTGATTACAGAGGGAGGGGAATCTTGACATTTTTTTGGTTCCAGGGGCAGAGCAGCTCCCTTACACATACCTAGAGCCTAGCTGTTTGGAGGACCAGCTGTATTTAAGTATTTATTTTAAAAAGTCATGTCTCTCCCTTATACTTAATCACTATCTTCTTTTGCACATCCAAATACTTGTAAAATCATTCTATGTTGGGCATTGTGCTGCAAACAATAAAAACAAGATAGAAAAAAAAAGACTGGTTAAACTATTTATGCCACCAAATGTTCAACATGACAGCAAGGGAGACCAGGCCTAATAGAGTGCCTGATTCATCATATGGGATACTATCACACATCATATCAAACAAGGGACCTCCTTTACAGCAAAGGACAAGCAACTGTAGGCTTATGATGATTGGATACACTTGTTTTGTCTCATTTAATACCATTAGGAAGATTCTGGGGAGACTGAGTAATGGAACACTCTTCAATGGCATAGATAAGGTGCTTGCTTACAAATGACACCCTGAAAGGATGTAGTGGCAACTTCCAGGATACATTATGCACACTAAATTAATGATTATAAACCACAAATTAATTTTGTGTCCTGTAGATTTTGGATAGATGGGTACAGGAAACAAGTTGAAGTAGTTCCACTTAGCATTTCTCACAGTGACTCATGTGGAGTCAAATATGCTTTCCATCACTGCAATTCTAGGATCTAATATGTGTCTCTAGACAGGTCTCCAGGAAGAGAATCTTTCTACCAGGAGACACAGGATAAAAATCTCATTAAACTTTAAGCTATAGTTACCACCTGACCACCAAGAAATTAATAGACAAGGGATGGCGGGATTGTTTTGCCAGGGTAAACAACCCTGGCCATCTGGAAAAAAAGTAAGGTTGCTCTTATAAAGTAGGACCAGGAAGAAGTGTTTGTTGGTTGCATGAAGTCTACTAGGGCTTCATTTGGTATTGTCCTGGTTAATTTAGACAATAATCAACAAGTGCAGCAGTTATAGCTTCAGAAGGACATTGTCAAAGGCCTCAGAACTCTCAGGGGCTAGAGTATGAATTATCTACCAGGTAATTAACCTAGACCAGCAGAGGTACTGGCAGAGAAAGAGGGGGATCAGAATGAGGAGAACAAGACAGATGCTAAGCATATGCAATAGGTGTTCTGTGATCAGTGCTAGGGGTCTAACTCAGATCTTCTTTCAGGACTGGGATACTCATCCCACAACTTCTGGGAGTTTCAGCAGTAGATGGATCATGCTAAAACCTCCCCAGAATATTGGCCTGAATCAATGCATAAGAAAAAGAGTTTAGCCCTTTGCTTTATTTAAAGACATCTCTGTGGGCCAGCTTGGAATTACCTATGGTATCTGCTGAGGCCTCTTTTGTGACTATTGCACAGTTCAACTTCTCTCTCTGCATGAACTCCAGCGGACAGTGCATGCTTTTTCTTATAAGATTACTAGAAGACACAGAAGATAATTACAAGGAACCAGATGATCATAAATCAAATGTAAAAATAACGTGGTACAAAAATGCTTTGTTTACAGATATAAAAAATAAGTAAAAGAAACTATTTTATATGAGATAGCATTGACAATAATTATCCTGTGCAATCCTTAAAATACTTGACTTTTGACTTAAAAAAAGATCTGATTATGTTTAATTCTGTTATCATTTGATTCATTCATACATTAAGTAGCATATTAAACTCTAAATATAAATCTTTTTTCAAAGTACACTAGAAATTGTAACTTAAAATGTAGTCTGTGCATCAGCATTATCAGCATCATCTAATAGCTTAAGAAATACAGAATCTCCTAGACTTTTGAAAATATAATCTGCATTTTAGCAAGGCTTTCCCAGATGATCATATACACATTGAAGTTTAATGAGCATCACATCAAGAACTATTAATTCTGGAGTGTTTCTATCACAAGAAATGTTTTATAACTTTACTTGAATGAAATGAAAGATATGGTGAGACTTGAGGCTTACCCCAAACTAGGATATCAAGATATGCTACCTATTCTTGAAGACTTAGTAGAAATATTTTTTTCTGTGGGAAGCTCATTACTTTTCTCTAAAGCAAATGGGAGCTCTTCTCCCTTTCTTTGCATATTTACTTCTAAAGACTATATTTTTCTTATCACAAAACACAACACAACAACCTTCTTTCTCCTTCTTTAAGCGTAACTTCTTCCCAACCCATGATATTGGATATTGGATGTGTATATTTGCAGCAGTAGCTGTGGTAATACTAATATATGCCACTTTGTGTGTTGTGTGGAGCACACAGACAATTGTTCCAATGGTGATCATCCATTCACACAGTCATAGGATCTCTTCTCTGGGAACTTTGGAATTTAGAAAGAATGTGCATGCCTGAACTATCACATAATAAACTGGGAACTGTTTACATGACACATTTTCTTCTATGAAGTCTGGGAAACATAAGTCAGTTTGCAAGAGAATATTTAGAATGAAATAGATACTCACAAAAAAGAGGGAATGGAAGAAATCCAGAAGAATTTGAGTTTCATAATATTAATTTACATCTTGGATCCATTCTAAGGTTGCTGTATTTTTCTGCTACACTTTACAGAGAATCTCTTTATACTGATAAGTTTCACCAAAACATTATTATTAATACACTCTAAAACACTATATGATTTGTGAAGGCAGAATTCTTTTATGTCTTGCTCAGTGTTCTAATAACAACAGCTAGAACATTTTCTGGTACAAATTCAGGTCTTGAAAAAATCTATTAACTACATTTTTAATGAATGGATAATACCCCGTATTTATACTGTTTACCATTTCCAGTCAAGAGGAAAGCATAGGTAAAAATGGCTCACCTCCTCACACTACCATAGCAAAATAAGCCACAAAACAACTATCACCCAGATTCATCAGAAAATAGAGCTAGCTGTATGGAAGTCCACCAAACAAGGAATGAAAGAAATCACATTTATGCAGATGGGTAGGAGGAGTGGAGACATTAAGATACAGAGACATGGAATGGGTGGTCTCATGCCCAACAGGTGGTACATAAATATTGGGAAGGGTACCTTGGGAGTGAGTAATCCCAGCCCCACACCACTCAGCCCAGGGTTCCAGTGCCAGGAATGTAAGTCACCATAACTTTGGGCTGTGAAAACCAGTGGGGGTTAGGACAGTAGAAGAAACTGTGGGATTCTGTGGCATTTCCTTGTTCTTTAAGAGGACAAGGCATAGGACTTACGCAGGCTCATTTTCTCTGGGCTCCAGCATCAGGGCAGCAGCAGGAAGGGCACCAGTGGCATATGGGGATAAAATGAAGTATCTGGCATCAGGCCAGGGACAGCTTCCTGCCAGACAAAATTCCAGAGGACAGAGAGTGGCATAGTCCACTCTCTGAGTTCTCACCCACACAGAGCCACAAAGCAGTGACACCGTATCTGAGACTCTATCAAACTGGTTCACATGGGTTGCCCTGCCAAGGCAATTACCCAAGGCTCTGCCTCATCCAATTTATAGGCTTGCTTTTCCACAATAGGCCATAATACTAGGACAGGGAGTCAAAGCAATTCTACCTAATACATAGAAACAAACAGGGAGGCTACCAAAATGAGAAGACAAAGAAATATGGCCCAAATGAAAGAACAGAACAAAACTTCAGAAAAAGAACTAAACAAAATGGAGATAGGCAATCTATCAGATGCAGAGTTCAAAACACTATTTATTAGGATGCTCAAGGAACTCATTGGGAATTTCAACAGGATAAAAAAGACCCAAACAGAAATGAACATTGCATTAAGTGATATAAAGAAAAACTTACAGGGTATCAATAGTGGAGTGGATGAGGCTGAAAATCAAATCAGTGATTTTGGAATATAAGGGAGAAAAAAAAACATTCAATCAGAATAGCAAAAGATAAAAGAATCCAAAAAATCAAAAATAGGCTAAGGAGAGCCTGAGACAGCTTCAAGCATACCAACGTTCGAATCATAGAGGAGCCAGTAGGAGAAGAGAAAGAGCAAGAAGTTGAAAACTTATTTGAACAAATAATGAAAGAAAACTCTCCTAATTTGGAGAAGAAAACAGACATACAAATCCAGGAAGCACAGAGGGTCCCAAACAAGATGGACACAAAGAGGACCACACTAAGACACATCATAATTAAAATGCTAAAGGTTAAAGATAAAGAGAGAATTTTAAAAGCAGCAAGAGAAAAGCAGATCATTACCTACGAAGGAGTTCGCATAAGACTGTCAGCTGATTTCTCAAAAGAAACTTGGTAGCCTAGAAGGGACTGGAAAGAAGTATTCAAAGTGATGAAAAGCAAGAATCTAAAACCCTGATTACTCTATCCAACAAAGATATCATTTAGGATCCAAGGGCAGATAAAGTGCTTCCCAGACAGAGAAAAGCTAAAGGAGTTCATCATTACCACACCATTATTATATAAAATGTTAAAGGAACTTATTTAAGAAAAAGAAGATCAAAACTATGAACATTAAAATGGCAATAAATTCATCACTGTCAGCAACTGAATAAGAAACAAACTGAGTAAACAAGCAAAACAGAAAAGTCTCATAGATATGGAGATTATTTGGAGGTTTCTGAGTTGGGGGGAGAAAGGGGGAGGATATGGGAAAAGGTGCAGGGCTTAAGAATACAAATTGGTAGGTAAAGAATAGACAGAGTGATGTTAAGAACACTATATGAAATGAATTAGACAAATAACTTAAATGCATGACCCATGAACATGAACTAAGGTGGGGGGATTACTAGAGTGAATGGGGGGTACAGGGTGGAGGGAGGCAAAAGGGGAAAATTGTG